TAAGCGAATATCATCAACATTTGCTAAATATTTTGCTTTAATTGACAAACAAAATATGTCCCCTAAAATGGCTGATATTCTATTGGAGAAATTGGGAATATCTTATAACTCCCAGCAAGACTCGATGGAACTCCTACTTCCAGGCAATAAAATTAATAGCCAAGATGCTCTCTGAAAAGATTTCAGAAATAGAAGAAGTTTGTGATCAAATTGGATTCACAATGTTTAGGCAAGAGGAATGTTTCTTATTAAAGAATATGCACCAGTAATACAATAATATTTTTATTTAAATAACTATGATTTATGGAACCATTGGCAACATTAAATATCTTCTAAAGGTAGGATAATATGGGCTAGGGATATCTAACCCCAGTTTTAACCATTTTGATAGATTAATTAAGGAAATTTAGCTACTTGTGGTATTGACAACCCCTTGTAAAGTGTGTTCTTTAGAGATATTGATAGAAGGTAATAAATTTTTATGCATTTATGTTATATTGATAGATATTAGAGATCTGAAAAATTTATTAAAAAAATTCCAATCTTGGCAAATTTAGTAAAATATTTTTAATGGCCCAGTACAGGCATAAATAGTTTAATAGATTTTTTGAATTTTGAGCTAATATTTTGATATTCTTTGAAAATATATTACAATTATGCTTTTTTCTTTATATATTATGTCTAAATATAATATTAAATTTAATCATTATGATATGACCCAAATATAAATACCATACAGATATAGGCCAAACCTGATTGATTTATATGAATGAACATTTATTTAATAATAAATTAATTATCATTTCTTAATATAGATTTCATTTACTGTATGGTGTCAGTAATATTAGCAGCAATCATTCACCCAAAATTTAAGCTAAATTGGCCTTACTTTAATTTGCCACAAAATCTGTTGGTAAAAGAAAGGTTAAGCCCCTTTAGAAAATTTACCGGATCAACCACATGCAAATGCTTCTAATGAATGTGTGGATGAAATATATACCTTTTTGGGAAAAATTCTTCATAAAATACCCATTCCATTAATAATTTTTTTAAATCAAATGCTGATTCAATTAATATTTTACTTATGTGAATTTTAAAAAATTTATTTAATAAAGCTAAACATATACTTAGACCTGTGCGCCGATGTCTCAATCAACGGCGGCAGTTTTTTAAATTTTTTATCGGCGTTCGGCGAGGCGGCGATTTCGCCGCCGTCTACTAAATTGGCGGCGGCGGCGCAATATTTATTTTAAAATTTTTTTAATGAATTTAATTTATAAATCAATTTATTTTTTAATGAATTTAATTTATAAATTAATGTATTACATTTTTTATAATTTATTTGGGCGATCTTTTCTAATAAATTGTTAACATAGTTTAATTGATCTTAAATTATTTCCTGTCTCACTCCAATTTAAATTTATGTATTTTCTCATTCTCAGAAATTGCATTTTTACTCAGATCAGAGTCACATCAACAACACATTTAAGAAATATTATATTGATTTTTATTATAATTAAAATAAATTTGGAATGCAAGCAAAATATAAAGTATGAAATATAATAAGTCAGAATTCAGATTTAGCAAAAATATAATTCATGAATAAATAGTATTTTATCAAGATTTGTGGGACATAAAGAAGTCCTTTTAACATTGAGTATTAAACCAGCAATGGGAAAAAATCTTTCGCTGTGCAGGTATACAATGAACCTTCCTAGCTAAATTAGCAAGCATAGGAAGTTCCAGTCACTTTTTCTTCCAAAATATTAATGCTTCCTCTTCTGGGATATTATTTTGGCTGAGCAAAATCAGTCTTGTTCTAGATTACTAATATTGTTATAATGGTTTGGAAGGGAATGTTTACGAGCTAATTTAGCTATATAAGAGCTTGATGTTTGACCATTATCCTCAACTTGAATTTCACTTTGTGCATTTCTATCATGCTCTATAAGTTTTAAATGTCGAAAAATTGCAATGATGTAGAATTCGAATTTAAATATTCTGAAACAACTTTATAATTTTGAAATTTGGGATCAAGTAGAGTTGCTAATATTTAATGTTTAAAATATAATTTTATTAATAAAAATATAAAATAACTTGAAGTTCAGTAATGGGAAACCTATGGTCAAACTTTTTTTTGATATTTTCTTACATATAATATCTGAGCAATCGGATCAATTGATTTGTATATGAGCTTCTATTTCACTGCAAAATAATAACCTTAAGTTTATTGTCGATCCTTTTTGGGAGGAAAGAAATTCGATCGACTCTCGGAATGGATTTAATACTGCGTAAAGCTCATCAATCATATCCTATTCATTATTAAAGAGTTTTAAAGATTGTTTTCCTATTTTATTTAGAACATTATTTATAGGAATTTTGTTTACACTGCGAACACTTTCTAGCATAATATGCTATGCCAGCGGGTAGGGCAATTTAATTTTAAAGTTTTTGCATTAATTAGATTGATCAAAATGGTCATCAAGGTTTGGATCAGATTCATCAATATCCAAGATATTACTTGTCTCATAAATTAACTGCAGACATTTACGATGTTCAGCCTTAATTTCACATTCCAAATCAGCTACTCGATATCTGAGGGCTGAAATAATTTCTCTAATTTTTTTAATGAGAATATCAATTTTGATAACTTTTTTTATGCCATCAACTGTAACCAAATTATGAAGTCCATGCCCTAAGCATAAATGATGCTCATAATCTGCTAATCTGACGCTTCTTTTGATATTGGCCCCATCATCAGTTACCATTTGTATTATTTTGGCTTTTAAATGGAACTCCTCATCAATACCATCAATCTCAGATAATATTGTTCCCCAGTATGCTTTTGAGTCACATTTCTAGTTGCTAAGGTAAAATATTTTAAATCAAAATTTCATCTAAATGATGAAGACTAAATGTGATATATTTCGACGCTTGAAATGATCGGTCCATAAATCAAAAGTGATAGAACAAAATTTTGGTCCAGAATCAATCAGATTTAAAACATGGCCATTTATAGATAAATAAACATCTTCTAGTACCCCGACTAATGGTTGTCCTATTTAGCAATTCTCACGAGGAATCAATTATCTTATATTTCTATTTTATAGGCAATTTATTTTTTAATAATCATTTTATATAAATTTTATACCTTTAGAAAATCTGTCATTCCTTTATTGTTTATAGAATCAAATGGCATTAAATCTAAGCAGCACATCGAAACATAATTTCGCCCTATTAGATTTCATGTTTATTTTAAACATTAAAGATATTTAAAATACATCAAAATAATTAGAGCTGAAATGAAACAAATTATAAATTAGATTTAGTTTTAACTATCAAAATAAAGCTTTACATAATTAATTTAATAAATTATATATTAAGTTTATACTTTATATTGATATTTCAAAATAATTAGAGCTGGAATGATACAAATTATAAATTTGATTTAGTTTTAACTTTCTAAAATAAAGTTTTAAATAATTTATTTAATAAATTATATATTAAGTAATAATTTAAAAAGATATTTAAAAAACATCAAAATAATTAGAACTGGAATGAAACAAATTATAAATGTAGTTTTAACTTTCAAAATAAAGTTTTACATAATTAATTTAATAAATTATATATTAAGTTTATACATTAAAAAGACATTTAAAAAACATAATAATTATAGTTGGAATGAAACAAATTATGAATTTGAAGTAGTAACTTTCAAAATAAAGTTTTACATAATTAATTTAATAAATTATATATTAAGTTTATATATTAAAAAGGTCTCAAAATAGAGCTGGCAATTTCAAAAAAAAGATTAATGAAATTAATAAAATTTTAAATGAATAATAATAAACAATAATACTAACCTAAGAGCCATTTTTTATCTTTTATATTGTTGCTGCTTGGTGTTGGCTTTAAAAACATTTTTAGACTTTGAGTGGATTTATTATTATTCATTTTTTCTGATAGTTTGTGATAATTAATTAAGTGCTGAGATAGATTACTTTTACTTATATTTTTACTAAAACATTTTATTTCATAACTAAAATATAAAAAATATATAAATATAAGTCTAAAAAAAATTACTGTGAAAATGAATTATGTTTATTCGATTCTTCCTCATCTTTTTCGCCAATTTTAAACAAGGTTCATAATAAATATAATCAGGCATTATTGTGCTTTTCTTATTTTCATTCTTCGAAATAAGATTTCCAAAGTACCTCCAGACATAACTTGATTTATGATTAGTAGAGAGTTATTATTTCATAAGTGTATAAGGGTGGTTTAAAATGCGGAAGTCCATTAAAAAAATTAATATGAATTGTTTGTGGAAATGATGTATGAATGAATGTAAATGATATACACTAGTCTATTATATATAGCAATAGAATACAATTCATATTTTAATTTTATTAATGTTAGTATTCAAATTAAAATAATAATAATTTAATATATAAATATAATTAATATGCTTTCTAAAAATTAAACACGCCGCGCCGCCGCCATAATAAAAATCGGCGGCTTTTCCGGCGTGAATAAAAATACCGGCGGTGTACAGATCTACCTATATTTAATGAAAGACATGGATGTTTAAATGATAATAACTTAGAAAATATTTAATACTAATTTTAATTATAAATAAATGTATATCTAATTGTTATATGATATTATTCAATTACATAAATTTACACCATATTTAATTTATTTTTATATTAGTTAATTTTGCATCGATCAAAATTTCCTTCAGAAATTTAAATGAGAAAAGGATCGTGATCGCGTTTTTTTTTTAAAAAAATTCCCTGGATTTCTATCCTTTTTTTTGAAAAGATCGTGAAGGATTTTCGATCTTTTTAAAATCGATTAACAATTTGTCATGTTGTATCCTTTTGCAATATGGAAGTGACTACTCTAGACCTAATTAGTTATGAAAAAGGACGCAAATTAAAAAGTATTATATCAAATTTATTTTTACCTTACAACATAACATATTTATATTTTTACAGAATAACCACAAATTCGGCACAGGCTCAGCCAGTTTTGCTGACATAGATCCTAGCAAGGTAACGGATCGATCTTCACCAACCCCATCTTTTCCTTTTCGGGGTGGTTCGGGTGGTCGAAGGTCGTATGGAAATTCTAATCATCGAGATGATGGTGGTAGACGTGGATCTTATGGGGGTGGGAGAGGTGGGGGCTCCAGGAGAGGCGGCTCATTTAATAGAAGAGACGGAGGTGGTGGAGGTGAACGGGGTCGAGGAGGTAGACCACAACCTGCCTTTCCCTCTTACCGGAATGAGGGAGGTTCATCTGGGGGAGACAGACGCTGGCCACCCTCTTCTTATGATTCTAGAGGTGGGGGTGGCGGAAGAGGCCCATCTGCTCATTATCCACCCCCTCCACCCCATAGAAGCAGCGATCACAAAAATGGTGGGGGCGGAGGTCGTAAATGGTAATTATCTTAGTTCAATTATATGTGATAGAAGATTTTAATTATAATTTTGTATATAGTCAAGAAAATATATTATTTTGAAATTGCCCATTCATTTTATATTATTTTCCAATTAGATATTCAATATTATATCTTTTTTAGTCTGAAAATATATAATAATTTTGAATACAGATACTTTATATATTAAAAAGTATATGCCGTTTATTTGTTTCATAATTTGTAAATGTAAATATAAAGTAATTTTAATATCTTATTATATTTGTACAAATAGTTCATATTAAATTTTTTTTAAAATAATAATATAAAGGCGTTATAAAGATCAATTATATATTTAGAATGGCATTGATAAAGAAACAAAAGCTCAAAAGTAATTAAAATAATATATAACTACTACCTAGTACCTGTTCGACGGTATCTCACTTAGCAGAGACGGATTTAAAAAATTGCATTGGCTTTCCTCTGCACCCTGGCTTTGCAGGCCCCCTTCTTCATCACCCTGGTTTTACGGCCCCAATAGCCACCATATATTATAACACTGCCTGATTATTTTAAGGTTCTAATCGATTTTTTAGCAAAGCACTTTTATAAACACCAAACTCTCCTTGATAGACAATTTTTTTATAAAATTTTTAGATATACTTAAATTATGGCAAATTCATTTTTTTAACTGTAAATTTTTTGAAAACTCAAAGATGTGGAGATAAAATCTTTTATACAATTTTAATAGAATAAGATTGAGAAAATGACTGTTTTGCATTATAAATACTAGGGCTGTGCCGATCCACATATTTTTCACCAATCTGATATTTTTCGATATTAGTTCAAATCCGATACCGATCTGATATTTATACTGATTTTTCACCTCCCCCCTTTGATCCAAATGTAATTAAGAAGTCAATATTTTTTATGCAAAAAATCGAATTATCCATTTAATTTAATTTTTTTATTTCTACAAAAGACTAATTAAAAAAAATATTATAATAATGTAAAATAAATATACATAACATAAAATAACAAAAAAAAGAAAAGTAAAAAGATTGGATTGGGGTTTTGAGAGGTATCGAATCGGTGCCGATCTGATCCGATATTTGATATTGACCCTAATAATACCTAAAAATTTAATAAATTTTAACAAATGTTGCTTGTGTGTATTTTGTAGTTAGTGTTAAAAAAATCTAGTTTTTACCACTGGAGTCATAAAATACGACGTTAGATTTAGCGGCAGGTGCATGTGTATTTTATAGTAGTGAGAAAGGAGCTGCTTTAGGTTATATTTACATGAGTAAAACTATAAATAGCTAAAATAAAATATGATTAAATTTCAAAATTTTAACAAGATGCATGTTTAAGAACCCTATACAAAATGTTAAACCCTGAAAAAAATCACCCCTATCCAAGTGGATTATGGATAGAATTAGGCCTCCAGAAAATAGAATAATGAATAATTGGATTTTTTAAAAATAACTTATATTTTCAGATATTTTATTTAGTATATAAATTTTTTTTTACATCTTACCGCAAAATTTATAACGTACGTAAAAATAAAGTCAACATTCTATTTTTGGTAATCAATGTCCATAAATATAGACAATTGAATAATTTTTCAATTTACATTTTGGTTTTAGTAGATATTAAATAAGAAATTACTATCAGGCAAAAAACTAATAAAAATTTTTAAAAATATTATTTGATTTTAATTTTTTATTTGGATATTTTCATATAATTCTTGATAAGCCTTAAAATGAAAAGGGGTATTTTTATCCAACCTTAATTTTTTACAGACAAAGGGAGTGTTATTGGTTAGGATGGATAAAGGTGACGGTAAAGTATGATTAACTTATATAGAAAATTTGGTAACGACTATTTTTTAAAATCAATTTCTTACTATGAATTTAGCTCTCCTTATCCTGGGTGGGTCTATTTATCGCTCGGCTAACCACATAATAAATCATTTATTACTAAATATCGCTCGGCTAGTAAATGTCGCTCGACAAACCACATGATAAATTATTTATTACTAAATATCGCTCGGCTAACCACATAATATATCATTTATTACTAAATATCGCTCGATTGGGAAATGTGGCTCGGTTAACCACATAATAAATCATTTATTATTTAAATTATGCTCGGCTAATTACATAATAAATTTTTTATTACTAAATATCGCTCGGCTTATATTTATGTATTAAATTTCCAAACATTTTCCAGTGGGTTTTCACTTTCCCTAATATTAATTGAGAATTAATTAGTTTATAAATAAGATAAAGGTTTGGACAGGTGTAAAAAATTATCTATTAGATATTTTAGCTTCAATACTTTTATAAAATTAAAATTGCTCATTTATTTATTAAAATAAAAGAAATAATATTCTATTCGCTAGATGGCGTCTTTAAATTTTTTATTATAAAATTTAAAAATAATATTTTTGAATGTGTTTAATAAATTTCGCCATATTCTATTAAATATTTTTAATTTTTTTATTATAAAATATAAAAAATTATTTTTGAATGTGTTTAATAAATATCGCCATATTCTATTAAATATTTTTAATTTTTTTATTATAAAATATAAAAATAATATTTTTGAATGCGCTTAATAAATTTTGCCTTATTGTATTAAGAAATTATATAGGATAATCATAATTATCCAATATTTCTAGAATATCGAATATATTTCATCAATATATATCAGAGTTGTAAACCCCCCTCTAAAAAAATGGGTTCGGGTGAGAGTTCAGTGAAAAATCTCTGAATCCGGTTCAGGGTAGTATAGTTAAATAGTCGAGTTTTATTGACCCTGAACTCGAGCCGTAGTCGTAAAAAACGGCTCAGACTAGTGCGGCTCAATAAGCCGCTTGAGCCGATTCTATATTTAAAAATATTTTATATATTATCAAATTTATAAAGAATTATACAAACTATTATTTTATATATATGATCCCCAGAGTTGTTAAAATACATTTTTTAAATGGATCTAGATGCAAATACACCCATTTTTAAGTTTTAAATTAAATATAGGGGAAAATAAATCCTTGAAAAAAACCGGAAAAAAATTCCCAAATAATTTTTGTATTTTCAAAAATAATTCTGCCGCTAAAATAACGGAAATATTTCTAAAAAATTATATTCAGTATTTTCTGAAAGTTGAGTATTTATTCTCGACGTTTGAGGATTTTTTTTAGCATTATTTCTGTTTTAATTCTAAGCGATATAGGGCAATCTCAAAATATGAGAATTGATAAATCGGTTGGTAGCTTTGATACTTTATAATTTTGTAGATAACATAAAAAGTATAGATTTGTGACATCTTGGAAAGAAAACATGATAGATTTTTATAGAAATAGATGAAAATTATGATTTCAACTTTTGAAAAAAAAGATGGAAACAAATAATATTTTTATTATTTAATTTCTTTTGGGGAAAAAAAGGAAAGGGAGGGAAATACAATTGAAAGTTATGCTATTATGAGAAAAAAAAATATGTAAAAACGGAAGTTATTAATATTAAAAAAAATAAAACTCAAATTTTAAGATGCCAGCCAGGCGGCAAAAGGATTCAAAAAGTATTAATAGTTAAAAATTAAAATAACATAATATCAATCACAATTCACTTCAAAATAATCATTTATTACACATCATAAATTTTTTTTTCGAATACATATTCACAATCACAATTCACTTCAAAATATAATCATTTATTTATTACATATCAATTTTTTTTCGAATTCATATTCACAATGGAGGATGCTATATTAAGGTTAATATTCATTTACTCTTCATATTTTCTTTACCTATGAAATGATTCACAAAATATAGTCAATTATTTTATTATGGTTTTTACTTTTTATTCAAATAAAGATACATAGGTTGTTACATGCTGTGACCCTATTAAAAAAGGGTTCGAGTTTATTTGCAAAAAATATCTGAACCAGGTTGGGATTCAGGTTCGGTGCCCAGAAAAAACTTAATTTAGTTAAAATAACAGATACAAATTTTTTATTAAAATTAATCTTATATTTAGTTTAAGAATTCACCGTAAAAATATTTATCATTTGGAGTTCTGGTGACCATCATTTAAAAAAACAATATGGAACTATATAATATCATTCTAGGGCCATAATTTAATAAAATTTGACAAATCGCTGTTTTTATTAGGAAATTAGACTGGTAGGGTAGTTTTTGAATTGTTTTAAAAAATATTAATTTTACCCAATGTTGTGTGCCGACTCTGAATATTCGCACAAGGGTTCAGACAGCACTCACATTTTCATACATCCAAATTGGAAATCAAAGATTTTGGCAATTTTATTTGATATCAGGAAATTTTATTTAGTCAATTTTAATAAAACCTTGATATGGTTGCATTTTATAAAAATCTTATTTGATTTAGGGTTATCTTCGTTCTTTTTATTTACTCAAGATTCATCACTTGAAAAAAAATTAATTTTTTCTATTTTTGCAGATTAAAAAGAGATCCAGCTATGGCCTTAATAGAAAAAAATAAATTAAGAGAGCCACAACCAATAACGTTAAGTGAAAAAATTATACAAATGGCGCAATCTCCAATCTTAGAAAATTATATTCCGCAGGAAATTGAATCTGATGGTAATTGCTTTTACCGGGCGGTTTCAATGTCGTTATATAAACCACAAACACTCATATTTTTTTAAGACTGATAACGGCAATAGAAATAATTATAAATCCTCAATATTATGATAAAAACCATCCTGATTTTTTCCAAAACTATAAAATTAATCCAAATATATGGGTGAATGAAGTATTATGAGATACTCGATTCGGCTCTAAATATAAATGTTTGGGCTGAGCAAATTCATATATGCGCATTAAGTGCTGCTCTTGGCAAACCAATGCCCATCAAATTCATTAAAGGCTTTTACCGATATCCTTTATGGCAGGGGTGTAAGCCAGAGTTTAAAGCCTCATATTTTAATCATGTGGACATCTACCATATGTCCAAATGATATATTTAATATTAGAATCAATCACTTTGTATCTCTCATACCAAATAATTATATTAATACATTAACAAAAAAACCCCAACTGTCCAACAATATCATAAAAGATTTATCATTTTCGATAGAAAATATTCTAAAAAACCATGTAGCGAAGATATCCGATTAAAATCTTTACCTTTTTTTTAAACAATATTATAGCCGAAGGAGGTCATCCAAACTATGGGTTTTTTTTAAACATTGTAAAATCCATAAAAATTTTGCTTTCTCCCAATAATATATTGCACG